ACATTTTGCATTGGACAAAACAAGCATTTTAAAGATTTGACAATTTTCATAATCTTCTCTCAAACATTTTCTGACAAAAAATATTTATCCATAATGTAAGTAATCATCTGTTGCAGTCTTTTATCAAATGTATCTTATATTTACTATTTACAGAATTGTTTTCACTCTTGAGGAACGACATCTTTGTTTCTTAGAGATGAGATATGTTGCATAGATCTATTGATAGTCTAACATTATAATGTTTTTATATTGATTTACTGATGGCTAGTTACCTATTAATGTGTTTTAAGATATTTAAACTAGTTGAGATTTGTATAGAAACTTTATTCTAATATATTTCAAATAAACAACATATGTCGTAATGGTCGTAATACATTTCTTATTCTGAACACTTGCTGCACTTTGAATACTTTCTGTATATTGTTTGTCTTGATGTTAAAAGAGTCTGCTGTGAGAAAGCAGACTTTGATGTTAAACACAGACCAGATTTCCAGGTGGATTCTAAGAAAAAGAATACACAAGCCTGTCGTAAACCCAGATGTGCATTTCCTTCCATTTCCTGAGAGTCTGTTTACCAGATGTATCCTGTTATTTATTTTTAGAGAACTCTGACTTGGAGGGATTACATCACTGTTAGGATAACAGATAGATAGTCAACAATGCTGCATTGCTGCCTAAAAACAACAACAAATAATGAACATCATGCCTTTAACAAAAGGTTGGTGGTTTTATTTCCTGTTATAGATGTAAAAAAACATGGACCGATGGCATTCTTCAACAACTACAACAGGGGTGTCAAACTCAAGGCCTGGGGGCCAAATCCGGCCCGTGACTTCATTTTCTGTGGCCCCACAAGAGCTTGCAAAGAATATTATATGTTTATTATACGGTTACATAATGATTTACAGAAGCACGTTGCCCATAAACTACATGTCCCATAATGCATTTCAAATTAGACTTTTTTTCTTCTAAATATGCCTTTTTTCTTAGAATGTGCACTTTTCTCAGAATTTGACTCTTTTTTTAAAAATCATTTTGTGACATTCTCACTGAAGAGACTTGCAATTATTTGCCCCAGACTTCTGCTTTCAGACGTAGTTAATTATGAAGTTATTACCCTATCTGATAATAATCCAATGCAGAGGCAATAATGTAATATACTGTAATACATTAGTTTATATATTTATATATATATGTATTTTGATAGTCTTAAAGTTACAACCGGCCCTTTGAGTGCAGCCATAATGCTGATGTGGCCCACGATTAAATTGAGTTTGACACCCCTGAACTACAATCATCATGCCCTCATTGCACTATACTGACAACTCAAGTGGACCTTTGAACCTCAATTTTATGAATTAAGTGATATTTAAAGGAACTCATTAATGGCTGAAAAGGCGAATTATCCACACTAGATACAATCTGAATAAGAGGGCAAGCCCTGCTGTTACTTCCACTTCACCACAGATTGTAACAAATGGGTGTAGATGAGGGAGAGTGTCTGTTAAAGAGCAGAGGTGAGAAGTAGCCTACTCATATAGGCTATTATATTTCAGTAAAAGTATCAATACCACAGGGAAGGAATACTCTGTGACATGTCAAAATCCTGCATTGCAAATGTTACTCAAGTAAAAGTACAAAAGTATTAGCATCAAATTATACTTAAAGCACCAAAAGTATACTCATTATGCAGAATGGCCCATTTTCGAATAATTATATGATTTGATTATAATTATTGATACATTAATATGTTTATAACAGCTGGTAAAGGTGGATCTAATTTGAATTCCTTTGGGTAGCTTCTGAATTTACGGGTGTAACTAAAATAATATTCAGTTGTGGATTATATTTAATATCATAATTTCAACTCTGCAAAGTAATTTAATATATTAAATAAATGCAGTGGAGTAAAAGTACACAATGCACCTTTGAATTGTAGTGGAGTAGAAGTAAAAAGTAGCAAAACATTTAAGAACTCAAGTCAAGTACAAATCCCTCAAATTTGTACTCAAGTACAGTAGTTTACTTGAGTAAATCAATTGAGTTAATTTACACCACTGCACTTCACCGTCCACAGATTGTCACGAAATGGGTGTCGATGAGGGGAGTGTATGTTAAAAATAGTATTCACATTACCATCATGGCACATATTGGATACCCGTATAATTGCCTTAGTCATTATTTACACAAAAGTAGGGGAGACCAGGGACAGTTTTAACACGGGTCGGTTGTAACACCTTCAATATCTCCAATCACAAACAAGCTATGAAACTCACTCTGCACATGCGCAGTTATAGTAAAATCGCTGAGAAAAAAAGGAGCCACGTTTGAATTTCTCGCATAAAATATCAGCAAAAGTGTGTTTCTGAGGTAAAATATTAACTAAAATGATATGATGTATTTTTTGGATACTGTCTTGAGTTCAAATGTCATGGAATCCAAACTAGTATTATTAGAATCACTGTTTTGTAAGCTACACATATAACTAGCTAAATATGGGTCAAACTAGCAATCAGGCAGGTTCACAGGGGGTGGAAGCAAGACTGGTGGTCCTGGGACGGTTGTAACATGGCACATTTACAATGATGGCTCATTTGCTTGAATGATCAATTGTTCATTCAAGCATACAGTTGTATTGTTGATTGGTGTGCATTGTCCCTGTAAAAATAAACTGAATAAAATACTGTACAGTAGGCCTAAAGTGTGTGTGTGTGTGTGTTTACAGTATGCCAAATGTCAGAAAGAGGAAGACAGACAGGGGAGTGCCACTTGCTCTGCTGCAGAGGGCCTCAAATGAAGTTGAGAAGGGCAAATCATTCAGGGAAGTGGCAAAGTCCCTGGATATATGCCATGTCACCCTGTACCGGTTCCATACAAAGAGGCTGAGGTTGGAGAGTCAGGGATCACAAACACCCCCAAGAGTAGGCTACTGGACACCAAAGAAGGTGTTCTCAACAGAGCAGGAGATGCTTTTGAGACTACCTGATGGAGGCAGCTGATTTATATTATGGTCTCAGCTCAAAGGAGGTAGGTCCACATAATTAAGGTAGAAGCACCTCTCAGAGAACAGTTTAATCCTTCACAGAGGATGATGCTGTGTGTGTTATCTGTTATCCTGTTCATTGCTCCTTTGTTGTTGGAGGATGTGTGAAACCCCATTCAAATCTTGTTGCCTTAGAATTTGACAGCTTTCCCTATTTGTTGTCATGTGGTGTTAAAAAGGTAACCGTTATTAACATGTTACAACCGTGCCTGGCATGTGTTACAACTGTCCCTGTACACAAGGACAGTTGTAACAGTTGAGTTTTTAAAAAAAAATACATTTTCCAACCTGTATTTATTTCATAAAAACATTTTAAATACATTGTTTCAGTAGCTGACATATTGATAATGTATAATATAGCAAAATGGCTATCCTATTGTAAATGTTTTTTTACTTATTGGGGAAAAACCTATGGGAAAAACCCAAAAAGTGTTGCAACTGTCCCTGGTCTCCCCTACTCTTGGATTATGGTACAAGGGATTACTTAATCCGTGACGCAGCAGAATAACAAAACAGTGCGCCATCCGCGTCGCAGCCGCATGTGTTTAGTTTAGGGCATATTATTATTACATTTGTAAATAATGTATAGTCCGGACACAAGAACTGAATGAAGGTTAGAGTCGAGAGTTTAAAAACGAATAAAGTTTAGTCGATTTGAATTAGGTTGACGTTGCATGTTAGCAGTACACAGGAGTTTGACGTTAACGTCACAAACGTTTACATACTTTTTAACGAGGTGGCATTATTTACCATTAACATCACACATGTTTAATGCATCAATGTTAGACAATGATTTTAGGACGCAAGATAACAAGGTTAGCTAATGCTAAATTATATCCATTGTTTGCTAACGTAAACGTAAACATCATTTGGGCAGGAACGTAAATGTTAAAGTGGTGTTTCGTTACATTTCGAAGGTAGTTTTTAACATATTAAGAGGCGGTGGTGTTGAAATCGATAGGGACTTGGCTTGGCAACTGGAAGGTCACCAGTTCAAGTCCCCGGCAAGACCAAGTGCTACCGAGGTGTCCCAAGGCACCGTTCCCTACACTGCTCCCCGGGCGCCGTTCAAAATGGCAGCACACTGCTCTTAACATTAGGATGGGTCAAATGCAGAGAAACAATTTCCCCACGGGGATTAATAAAGTATATCAAATCAAGAGCCTTAAAAAGTGCACGTCACAGCATAAACATAGCTGCTCTCTAGTGCTGAAAGCCCTGCACGTTATATCTCAGCTAATGTTAGTAAACGTAACGTCTGTTTTTCTTTTGCTAACGTCATTTACATGGAGCTTTTACGTTTCTCCAGGGTTAAAAAAAACACAAACTTCGAATAAAGCCTTGGCACTTAACAATGTGACAACCAGGAGAGTTAAAGCGTACACGTGATGTTGGCTCTTGCAGCATGTTGCGTTTGCCTGTTGTGAGCCGGAGTGTCTTTCCAGCGACACTTATCAAAGGAGGTGCGGCTGCAACAAACAATGGCACATTAACAATATGTTGCTTCATCAATTGATTAGCTTAATCATCATGCTCTGGTCACTAATGCCTGTCTTGTATTTCTGCAGAACACCCATGTTGTGTGTTGTGTGAAAGCACTAGAACCTTAAAGCACTAGAACCTTTTTGACTTTGATCACTGATGGATTACAGGCAGGATTACAGATTTGCCAGTCGATATCTGGTGCCAGGCTTTTGCTGGCTCAGTGGCTATCATTTGCTATTGCTTTGGAATACCAGGGACTCAGTCTGTCTGAGGGGAAAAGGCGAAGAATAATATTAATGGCCCCAGCTGCATAACATGGAGCACCAGCAGCCACAGAAAGTTTTCTAGCATTGAGGACACCCTGTGGCCTATGGTTGAAGAATGTTTTCTTACATTTTGAGCATTACATTTAATGACATCCATTAGCAAGTACTCCTCTTGTTTTCTTACTGTCAGTGCACCCTAGAGGGCACTAACTCACATGTTCTACAGGGATGGCACTTTACCATATTGTATATATCATTCTGGCATCTAAAATTGCACCAGTGCCAGGGATTCATTCTAGTAAAGGCGATATAAATGATAATGAAATTGTTTAATTGAACATTGACTAACAGTCCTTTGATGAAAAGAAAAGGAAATATTTGCAGATAAATGTTTTCTGTTTGAGTTTGAAGCTCGCCCCGCAGCAACAGCCACAGCTGCCGTTAGTAACCTCCTTGAGGTTTTTGTGGATGGGAACCGATGGGAACCCTATCATGGTGGAGCCAGGAACCACTGTCTTGCAGGTTTCGTGCTAAATTCATGCATTTAATCACATAATATTGAAAGCTGTGGAGTCTTAATATCAAATGTAACACTGTGACTCAATTTTGTCACAGGCATGCGAGAAGGTAGGAATGCAGATTCCTACCTTCTGCTACCATGAGCGCCTATCAGTGGCTGGAAACTGTCGGATGTGTCTTGTGGAGATAGAAAAAGTTCCTAAGGTATGTCATGTCTGTATATGATTTACAACATGTATGTTTTGTTTCCATTCTGGTAGCCAAACTGATCATGCTGTATTCTTCCCCTTTTAGGATGCATGGAATTACATGAAATGTTGTTCATTTGCTTTGTAGCCAGTGGCAGCTCGTGCTATGCCAGTCATGAAGGGCTGGAACATTTTAACCAACTCTGACGAGACAAGAAAGGCCAGGTAGGATGAAACTCAAAAGTAAATACATTATATTTGCTGTTGTTCTGGTATTGTAATAAATACATCTCTGTAATTATACTTAGTTGTCTTTTGGCCATTTTTTGTGGTATTATGATAACTCACATCTCTCCAAAGCTAAAAAAACATTTCACACTTTTGTGTCGAAAAGGAAATATATATATATTCAAATGGTATGTTTAATTTTAAACAGAGGGGGTATAATGGAGTTCCTACTGGCTAACCACCCACTAGATTGTCCAATTTGTGATCAGGGGGGAGAATGTGATCTACAGGTAAAGATAATCACCACCAGATGTAAATTTCTAGACCTGACAAAACATTTTTTTCTTTGAAATATATACATTTAATACAAGATTAAATGATACAACCAATAACCATTTTGTTTGAAGGACCAGATACAGTTTGGCAGTGACAGGAGCCGCTTCACAGAGAGCAAAAGAGCAGTGGAAGACAAAAACATTGGCCCTCTCATCAAAACCATTATGACTCGCTGCATCCTGTGCACTCGATGCTTGCGGTGAGACACACATCAACATCAAGAGTGGGTTGAGTTGCTCTGATTGTCTAGACTATGTAAATAAATCATTATTTTGCTCCTACAGCTTTGCCAGTGAGATTGCAGGTGTGGAGGACCTGGGTACAACTGGCAGAGGCAATGACCTGCAGATCGGGACCTATGTGGAGAAGATGTTCATGTTGGAGTTATCTGGGAATGTCATTGATATATGCCCAGTGGGAGCCCTGACATCTAAACCATACGCATTCACTGCTCGTCCTTGGGAAACCAGGTTGGTGCTCAACATTGTGATTACAAAATGTAGGGTCAAAGGTTAGTTTTACCACTCATGATGTTTCTCTGCAGGAAGACTGAATCCATCGATGTTCTGAATGCTGTGGGTAGTAACATTGTGGTGACCACACATGGGGGTGAGGTGATGAGAATCCTGCCTCGCCTCAATGAGGATGTTAATGAGGAGTGGATCTCAGACAAAACCAGATTCCTTTCTTATCACACAAGTTGACTTCACAGACATAGATTTTTGTATGCCGTTTGCATCAAAGCTAAAATCTTCCTTGCTGCTATTCTGACAGGTTTGCATACGATGGACTCAAAAGGCAGAGGCTTACTCAGCCAATGGTAAAAGACGAGTCTGGGCAGTTGGTTCCTGCGACCTGGGAAGAGGTGCTGACTCGAGCTGCTGGAGCGGTATGTCATTTTTTGATTAAATTACTTTCTCTAACAGTGTGTGATAGTGTGCGAATACTTGTTTCAGCTAAGGCTGTTCTGATTAACATCTGTTTTCTTTGACAGTTGCAAGGAGTTCAAGGAAATGTTGTTGCTGCTATTGTTGGAGGCCTGGCGGATGCAGAGGCTCTCATTTCCCTGAAAGACTTGCTGAACCGTTTGAATAGTGAAAACCTGTGCACTGAGGAGGTGTTCCCAATGGCTGGAGCTGGGTAAAGCCACATAAAAATAAAAATAAAGATAGGACAAAGCATGTTGAACTTTCCCTGATGTTATTGTTGATGTTATGTTATCACATAAGATGAGGGTCAGTTTGGAAAAAAAGGAGTCCCAGCACAAAAGCTAAGCAGTGTATTGCTGTAGTTTGGGGCAGCAGCTAAATATATTTTAGCCACTTAAAAAAAAGGCAAAAACTAAAGAAAAAAACAGTTTAAGTGTACACAATATTGAAATAATTTTCACTTATTTGCAATGATGTCATAATTTCCTCTCTGACAAGGAACTGAGATGCTCCATTAACAACTAAAATGTCACAATAACGCAAACAGACTGATTTGGACAGTGGTAGACCAATCAATGGCATCTTGTGTCTTTGGCAAGAGCAATGATAACTGCTTTAGTTCCCAACCGAAAAGGGCTTAAACTATCACTTAAAGTTTTAACCTTGGTTACTCAGATATGAACTGCATTCAAACTATATCCTGAACACTGGGATTGCTGGCATTGAAGAAGCTGACTTACTGCTTCTGGTTGGCACAAACCCACGCTATGAGGCTCCACTGTTCAATGCAAGAATCAGGAAAAGATACATTAAATAATTTAAATATTTTATATGTGCTTATTGAGCAACATCAGACCATTGAATCTGAGTTATACTGAACAAAAATGTCCTTTATAACGATGTTGGTATCTCTGATTCAGCTGGCTTCACAACGAGTTGCAAGTTCCGAGTCCTCTTAGTAATTCTAAAAATGTTAAAAGTCAACTTGAATGTCTTTTTTCACCTCTATAGGTCAGGTCTTGGCTGAGATGAAGCATCCTGTTGTTGTGGTTGGAAGCAGTTGCCTGCAGAACGAGGATGGAGCGGCAATAATGGCTGCTGTGTCAACCATCGCTCAGAACGCTCGCATCAGCAGTGCTGCAGAGGAAACATGGAAGGTTCTCAATGTGCTTCACAGGTCAGGGTCTTGGAAAATTAGAGGGAAATCTTTTAGGTACAGGGAAGTGGATGTTTACTGTAATATATGGACGTTTTTCCTTTCCCACCTCAGGGTTGCCAGTCAAGTGGCTGCCCTTGACCTTGGTTACAAGCCAGGAGTGGAGGCTATCAGAAAAAACCCTCCAAAAGTCCTGTTCTTACTAGGAGCTGATGCTGGCTGCATTACTCGCCAAGACCTCCCAAAGGAAAGCTTCATAATTTATCAAGGTCAGCAGTTTTACTGCACGGCAGCATAAGCTCTTTCATTTGTATTAATGTATGTATGGCAGCTGTGAGAGGCAGCAGATTCCCTGACTGATTCTTTTGTATGTTAAAAAAGGAACATTTTGAAATCCAAATTGTCCCTTTTAATTAAAGGGACATCCAATTAAATGTTTTGTGCCATAACTGCCCAGCTCACCATGGCGATGTTGGGGCACCAATGGCTGATATCTTGCTTCCTGGAGCTGCATATACTGAGAAATGTAGCACCTATGTGAACACTGAGGGCCGTGCCCAGCAGACCAAAGGGACTGTGACTGCACCGGGGATGGCGAGGGAGGACTGGAGGATCATTAGAGACATTTCTGAGGTGAAGCAGAACAAAAAAGGCTTTATTACAACAATCAGCTTCATTTTTTAGGTCTAGTTAAAAATAAAAAGTTCCTGTGGTGCTAAAACTGGTAGTAGTTAGGGTCCTTTAAAGCTTTATTTACCTAACCAAAGAAAAACGCTTAAAGAAAACTCAATGATAACTTTAAGTTGTTAGGAAAAGACTCAGCCCAAATTAAAATAACAAAAACTGCTGATAAAATGTCCAATTGATGAAGATTTATCCAACTCAAAAACTGTCTTTTCAATGCAAATGTATAATCCAATAAAATAAATATGTCAAAAAGCAAAAATAGAATCCAGTAATGCATTGCAAAATTAACAACATCCCTTATGGTCCCCAGGCTCACTGGATTCACTGCTGCTACCTGTTTCTTGAGGTACCAATGTAAAAAAGAGCTAAACATTTTTGTTTTTTTACTTTCTTGGGAGCTGCAAGGCTCCCCTCTTCCTCCTCGATCGCTTCTTTCCAAAGTAAATAAAACAAACATCCTTCCCCACACAATTCCCTCTTCCTTTGTTCCCCAGGTCACGCCCCCTTGTACCTGTAGGGAACAACCATAGGGAACAACACACCTGATTAGTGCATTTTGTGGTAGGCGACAAGTCCAGCAAGGAGAGGACCAAACTGCATCAGGAGTTTAACCTCCCCAGGCTTTTAACACTACCATGTATTCCCCTTCATCTGTGGAACATAAAACTGTTTCTTTTTTGGTCTCTTTTTAAGCTTGTTGGAGTCACTGCCATATGACACCCTTGATGAAGTCCGTCAAAGACTGGCAGAGGTTTCCCCAAATCTGGTGCGATATGATGACGTTGAGTAGGCCAACTACTTCAAGCAGGCTAATGAGCTGTCTAAGGTCAGCTGCTATCTTCCTCCAGCATGTGTTCAGTTGATTACATAAAGTGTAAGCTAATTCAGTTTATTGCTTTACGCTGTTCTCTCTGATGATGGTTGTATCTGGATTATCTCTTTCAGACAGTTGACCAGGCTGTCCTTACCGGACCTTTAGCCCCTCCACAGCTTACTGTGAAGGACTTCTATATGACAGGTAGGTCACTAGTGCTCTGGAACTGTTCTGAATAAACCTAGTCTCAATATTTTCTCTATTCCAAAGTCCTACAGGAAGTCCTGCAGCAGTGGTGTATCATCATCCTTAATGTTAATATAATTGTGTTTTTGCTTTTGTAGTTGTTATAAGGAAACTATCTAATATTAACACTAATTCAACATAATATAGCTTTTAAAGCTGCATCAAAATCACAATGTGCGATTATTTGGCCTTTTTTTATTTTTATTTGACATAAATACAAAATCTGTAATTTCCACAAAAGTGTTACATTAAAGCTGAATAAAGTAAAGTAACAAGGCAAAATAGGAATGTATGATATGGGGATGTAATAAACAAATTTGATTGATTTAAATGACATCAAGTAGTGATGAAGCAAATCAAATGTTTTATTTCTATAATTATTTTTTTCATCAAATTAATGTCATGTTCTAGTTCAGAGAAAATTCCATTGCAACTTTAGTATTAATTTTCTATGTACATTTCTAATTCATAGAATAATCAACACCCATTCTCCTCTAGTTACACTCATTATACAGATAAATGTTGGTCTTCACAGTAATGTGTGCTAGTTTGAAATGTGCTTTAAATCTTTACTCACAGATCCGATAAGCAGAGCCTCCCAGACGATGGCAAAGTGTGTGAAAACTGTCACAGAGGGAGCACAAGCTGTGGAAGAGCCAGCCATATGCTAAAGCACAATGGATAGACAATCCTTTAAAAACTAAATATATACGCACAAAGCTGCAATTGGCACATTTCTAGAAACCTATTTGTTTGCACTGTTTATAATAGCACATGTATTATTATCTTTACACATAATGGACCTAACATACTTTACTAACCTGCAGAATGTGCTCCTTGCAGAGTGAATATATAAGCTTAGGGTTTACCTCATTTCCAAAGATGCACTTTAAATGTTTTCATCTGTTAGGAAGTTGACATTTTTATTGTATATGATCGAGGTTTAACATGATTATGCTTCAGATGTAGGAATAGTATGTTGTTTTGTAAAATTACCAACGTGTACCATGTAGAGATTATATTTTCCTTAAATAAGATGTGTATAGGTATAGAGGTATTTGTATAATATTCAACAAACCAGTTTTATGTAGCAAACGACTTATTTTACTTTGTGCTGTTATTTATAAAAATAAAGATAAAAACATTTAAAAAGTGTCAAAATATAAATGCTGGTGGATGGCACTATTCTGTTTTGATGTGAAGACACTTCTCTCAAGCTCCTGTATTTCCCTGGCACGTGGTCCATCATCGGGGAACAGCCGGCAACAGTGACAGCAGGGCTGGTAACTCACTCACATGGAGAACGAGAGCCGGGGTCCAGGTGGATTGTACACTGCAACACTTAGCAGAAGCTCTCAGTCGTTATAATTTAACTGAAATGATTGAAATGTGAAAAATGTAAAACGGCACACACAAACTCTTATTCCTGTCATAACGATATCAACATAACACTTCTACACTGTAAGGACTTTTAACAAAGTTGCATTTCCAATATGGTAGGAGAGGTTGTTGTTGTTGAGCGGATTGTTGTCATGTCCTCGCAGTGCCTGTAGTGGTGCTGTGTGGATTCGGCTGTGGATCCTACAAAAATCCTCAGCAGCCTGCTTGATATTTGCTCTGGATAGCCTATATTTAAATGCATCCTTATTTACAGATATACCGAGCTCGATGAAGATCACTGCTATTATCTTGTCTTCGATATCGATGCACAAATAGCCTAGCAGATTGCAATAGACATTTCGGCCGTCTATCTGGAGTGAATACCTTATACAGCCCATACCAATTCAAGGTAAGCGAATTCATCGGGGCCTCGGACTCGATTTCTGAGTGTGCCGTTTTGCGCAGGCCTCAGACGGCCAGGCGTTCAACTAGAAGCCGCTGTGCTATCTAAGCTAATAGGCCTCCTTTTAATGGCTAATTTATTTTGTAACTTGTGATCTGAATAAATGAGTCCGTGCCTTAAGTACATATGGGATGTTATGCAATGTTGACATTCTCAAGTCCTGTGACCTGCTAATGTGACTCTATGTAACGATAAAGGCTATAATTCATATTGATTATTACAGAGGCCTTCGAGGACAGGCCTTAAGCCTCGTATGTAGACCCTTTGTTCGAAAGTATTTGGCCACAAATATATCATATTTATTTATACAGAAACTCCAAGATTATCCCACATTATTGCTTGCAATCTAGGATTCATCTTGCATTTTTTTCTTTATAAAACTAAACTGAAAATAGACCTTTTTATAGTGTTGCCATTTGCTGATGTTTCCGTTTCCTGGTTAGCTACCGCCTACTAATTTGTGTTTTTAGCCTTGGTAGCTTGTTAGCTAACTCACCAATTTTACGTTTTGTTCATCATTATAACATGTATTTCTGCCTGAATATGGATATACAGTTGCTTTAATATATTATGATACAGTAGTATAATGCGCGTTATTGTGTTTAGAATTTCATTTATTTGTGTTTTACATCTGTCCATCGGCTCCAAGCTAATGATGGCTAGCTCCCCAGGCTCCAAAGGTAGTTAGTTACGCTAGCAAACGATAGTCACCGTTTGCTGCCTGTCCGGTTCTCCGTGACTAAAGTTGTTAACGTGACCCCAGGCTACAACAGATTACACGTAGCCAACACGATCTTTTGTGTACAACATGTACCTCGGGTCTTACAACCGTAGTGATCCCTAAAACCATCTTTTAAACACACAATTATAGTTAAAAGTAGCAGCTAAGCTACTGGTGAACCTCAGCAGCTAACGCTACAGTGTATCGTGATATAGCATCCTCCTGTTTGCATGTGTGTTTATTATGAAGCGCTATATTTAAAAAAAAAAAAAAGGCAGCGTTCTTGTTGAAAAAAGGCACATTTTTTATTGAGTTATTTAAGTCTTTATCTTGTTTTTTTTATTGATGGATGCACACCAGCAAGTCACTGTTTTGAGCGTTAACTTGAAAGTGTCATACAACCATAATAATTATCTTGTAAGTGCTACCTTGAAAGATAATACCTGTTTGATAAAATTACATATTCTCTGTTTACCCACCGTTTCTCAATTAGATATTATGAGAACAAAAATTGAAGGTCTGAAAGTGTGTCTACTAGACTAAAGTTATCTCATAAAAGTATTAACATGTCAGTGCATTATACGTTTTCATAAAACAGTCAACTAATAGTTGAATTACTTTATTAATATAAACATATTCAATAATCAGGTTGTAATGTATAATTATGTTGGCTTACAGAATTAGTTTTCTCTAATTATTAGCTAAGAGCTTGGTAAACAGCCACAAGTTGTAGAGGTGGCTATTTTGCATGCATGGTTACCTCCTCAGTATTAAGTGTTAGGGATGTAATTCTTGGTTTTTCCCTGATTTACCCCATCAGCTGATGTTGTCAAGAACAAGAGTCACGTGATGTATGAAGGCAAACACATACACTTCTCAGAGGTGGACAATAAGCCGTTGTGCTCGTACAGCCCAAAGCTCTGCAAGCAGCGCAGACTCAATGGCTATGCTTTCTGTATACGGCATGTTCTGGAGGATAAGACAGCCCCCTTCAAGCAATGTGAATATGTGGCCAAGTACAACAGCCAGCGGTGTACCAACCCCATCCCCAAGTCAGAGGACCGCAGGTGTGTAGTGTCATGTTAATCACTTAAAAGAACATATAAACCTGTATGTTTGTTTAGCATATTATTGCACACACTGTGCAGAAGACATGCTGTGTACAGTATGCTGAGGCTGTGTTCTTGTTTTCCAGATACTGTAACAGTCACCTGCAGGTTCTGGGCTTTATCCCCAAGAAGGAGCGGAAAAAGAAACATGACGCTTTTGAGGAAATGCGCTCACGGGCTCACCTGGAGTCAGTGGCTCTTAACATAACTGTGCCCTCTTTAGCTCTGAAAGCTCAGAATGGTCTGGATGATCTACCGCCATCTCCTCCCTGTTCACGCCTGTTACCCCTCCCTGACGGGGAACTCCTGGACCCTTTTGCCTTTTATGAGGATGACACTGATGGCGAGGAGGTGGGTTCACCTCGGAAGGGCAACGCCATCAAGAAGAAACTACAGAGCCGGCTGGTGCTCAACCAGAAGCTCTGCCATGACACGGACCTCTTCCAGCCACCTCCTGAGCACTTTAATCCCTCCCCAGGCTCCCGTGTCCACCCCTCCTCGCCACTCAACTCTCATCTCCCACGGCAACAGTCAGGTCTCCTCCAGCCGCCCCAGCACTCCAGCGTGACTTCCTTCATTTTCCCAGGACAGCAGCAGGGTTTATTATGCAATCCACCACCACCTCAGACGGTCAACTTTCTGCCTCCAGGGATGCCCGCTAATGCAGCACCCAGTCCAGTGCAACCTACTGGGCCATCACTCAGCAGGAAAATGCCTTTCAATGCTACTCACTTGCCTGTCAGTTGCAAGGACAGTGGTAGTAACAATCAGCGGCACATGGTTGTCATGCGTCCCGCTGCCTTCTCACCTTCTGCCAGCTGCCTGGCCAGGTTGCAACATCTGGTGCAGCTCTGTGCCAAGACACACCAGGAGCACGGAGACCTGTTTCCTCATCTAGGTGCTTGATTTTAATTTCACACACATTTTTTTCCCCCCATACTTATAAATTAATATGCATTTTCTTTAGAAGAAAGATAACATACAGTACAGTGTAGCAAATGAGATTTGAGCCTGCCAAGTACCACGCTCTAACAAGTTCTCTTCCAGGACTGGACTGGTCAGAAGACAGTGCTGATGATGACGATGAAGAGGAGACAGAGACATTTTTTCCTTTTCAGAGCTCTTGGAGACCCCAGAATGGGTCAGTATTTTATGTCTTAACCCCACAGTGTAAACTTTAACCTGACACTTCCCATCATGAGTGCTATTAACTTTTTTTCTTTCAAAATAGGTTGGAAGAAGATAGCGGCTCCTCGCGGCGAACAAGACTACTTCGGCTTTGCTCGTACCTCCAGGAGAAATACAAGCACATGTGCAGGCAGGAGAGGGCGAGCATCCGCCAAAAGAGATACCGCTATGTCTTCCGCAAAGCCTTGCTACATGCTGCCGGTAACAACCCCAACTGTGCTGGGCAGCTCATCCAGGAGTTACGTGGTGCCTCTCGAAGCTCCTCAAGGTAGTCTCTCAAATGTTCCATTTTACTTATCTGAACTAATCACAAACCCTCCATCTCCCTCCTGTGATTCATATAAGTGCACACAACAGATGAGACGTGTTGTCAGTGATGTTGCTTGCCTGTATGTTTCTGCAGTGCGGCTCCAGGAAGGCAGCAGAAAGCAGACACAGGGACCTGCACTGGCAGCACAAAGGGCCAGGCCTGCAACAACAGGGCTCTGCCCTTCACACGACACTGCTTTCAGCGTATCCTTTCCACCACATCGCTTTTCACATGTATAGCTGGCTGTGAAAAAGAACGGCTGTGATTCTGTTTTTGGTAGTTAAAAACATGATTTAATCAGTTTCAGTTGTAAATGTTTTGGTTTGTGGGACCGGAGTTCATGATTAAATGCCCTCTGTGTAGTGTTTGGTGTTATTTCCTTCATTGTTCTCTATAGACATTCTGTTGAATCGTTCCCAGCAGCTCTTTGCTAGTTGCACAGCCAAATTTGCAGATGGTCAGCAGTGCTCCATCCCTGTGTTTGATATTACGCACCAGACACCACTCTGTGAAGAGCATGCCAAAAAAATGGTGAGTTAAACATTTTCAAAGGCCAATTTTAAATATCCTTTTGAATGTCAACAATAACTCAAGAAAGCCAAAAGCCTGATTTCTTGGTGACTGCTTTGTTGATCTTCATTTGGGCTAATGTTACAATGATTCAGTGCTCTCTCATACATAACACACAGGATAACTTCCTGCGAGGGGATGGTAACCGACGAGTGCAGCACCAGCAGCAGCAACAGCGGAAGCCACGTAAAAAGACCAAACCCCCGGCACTCACCAAAAAACACAAGAAGAAGAGGAGGAGAGGGCCGAGGAGGCCTCAGAAACCCATCCCCCCAGCGTTACCGCAGGGGAACCTG